TCTCACAACATGCAGCGCAGATGTAATCACTCTTCTTGGAACCAGGAAGCTGGGACCTGGTGTTGTCTTTGTTCTTTGGGGTTTTCTGTTGCGCCTGGCGGGGGATTGGTCTCACCCATTGGGCGTGACATTTGCATCATTTTTGTTGTTGTTATAAATGCGGGGGTTGAGGGGATGGGCATTGTGTTTCATGACTTCATGAGGGAGACTTGGGCTGCGCAAGCAACTTAATCAGGAGAGAATTCGGGGGAAGAGATTGGCAATGTGGGGTGGTCCGAACTAGTATCTCTCACACACTGGTGATAGCCTTTATTTGGTTTTGTAGGAATTATAAAAACAACCTAAAGAGGCATGGCTTAAAAAGGAAATGAGGGAGACCAGAGGCAAGAGAGCCGACTAACAAAATGAGGCATGAGGCCCAGCCCCAAATAGCATTCAAAAATCAGATAAATTATTGTGCAGTTTCTTTTGTGTTTTTTTGAGACAGGGTCTTGCTATACAGTTCAGATCAGCCTTGAACTCACTATAGCCCAGGCTGGCCTCCCACAGTGATCTTCCTGCCTCAGCCTCCCAAATGATGGAATTACAGGCGTGCACTACTGTGCCCATTGTGGTGTCTAATTTCTGAATCCTTTTCAGTTAGCTTTTTTGCTGCACTTTGCACTATGCCTGACTGGTTGCTATAAAAGCAACATTTGTCTCTGAGAAAAATGCATAAGCCACCTTTCTCAGCTGTGAGAAGATCTAACTCCCTGCGATTTTGGAGGGTCACTGCCTCTAGGCAGTCTATTTGGGTCTGCAGGGAGAGGATGAATTTGGCTATTTCTTCGAGGCTGTCACAGAAATCTTGGGATAGCAAACAATAGTAGGACAGTGAGGTAGCTAGGTCTCCTCTCCCTGTTCCTGTGGCAGTGGTGACACCTACACCCACAAGCAGGGGTATTAATTTCAGGGCTCTCTGGTATCGAATCTGCTCTTCGATGGTGACAGGCAGACTCTGGTTACCTTGGGCAATATCTATTTTGGGGGTAAGGTATACCAGTGTGCAGGTGCCAGTCCAGTTGGTAGGAAGACACAGGTAGGCTGATGTCCCACAAAGGGAAAAAACACCTTGGCTAGGTAAGCAAAATTGATTATGAATGTTAAAGAGGTGTGTGAGTTTTTGATTTTCTTTTTCCCAGACACCCAGTGTACCTGCCAGGGCGGCACCTGTCAGAGGTCGGAAGGGCCCCTGACGGGGGATGTGACTGGCACCCATTGTTCTATTTTCCCAGCAGAAGAAGAATCTCTGGATGTTGATTAGAAGCCACTCGGAGGAATGATTAAAGGTGGGCAAAAGGAAGCACTGAGTGAGTGGGAGGTTGGTGACAAGGAGTCCATGGATGTATGGTCATGCATGGCAAGTGGCAGCCCTCACAGAACCCTGTTTATTGAGTAGTGATGTCATTGTAACCTTGGGAGGGCCAGAAAAACGAACAGGCTGAGTGAAAAAAGCATCCTGAGTGAGCCGGTAGTTGACATGATCAGTTGAGGCCAGCAGCAGTAGTGTATAGTTACACTGCTGGGGGAGTAGATGTCCTAGCAGTGTGCCAGAGGATAGATTCCACTGAATGCACACAGGGGCTTGGGAAGTCAGAGTAGGATAAGCAGGGGCAGAGCTTCTAGGTACCTGCTGGAATTCAAGACAGTCTGAGGGAAGTAGGAGATATTACTTGCAATTTCCACCAGGAAGGTTCAGGTGAGTTGTCAGCAGGACAGTTCTACCCAGGAGTGATGTACCCACTGAAGAGGACTGGTCTCATAGATGGACAGCCATCAGGGTGCTGTAGATGATGAAATAGGGTTCTATCCACTTGGACTGTAAGGACCGAGTGTTTTAATCTTTAATTAAAACGTATTTGCCGATGAGTTTGTCTTAAAAAGGCTGGGCATCTGGAGGGGGAAAGAGTAGGTTAGTGGCGTGTCACTTCTGTTTGGGCTTAAAGGACTGGGAGACAGTCTTCAATAAAGCAGGTCCCTGGGCTGATATTGGGCCCAAGCAGGAGGATGCAGCCATAAAAAATTCTAAGGGGCTATAACCTGTGGGCTCCCAGAGGAGCAGGAAGAACTGAACTATAGGTTTGTAAGGTACGTGCTGAGGAGGCCACTGGCTCCTTCTACCTTTCCAGATGACTGAGGCTGGAATGGGATGAGGAGGTTCCATCAGACACCAAAAGACTTGGCTACCTGCTGGGTGATTTGACTAATGACATCTGGAACACTGTCTCATTGGATGGATGCGGAAGGCCAAGTCAGGGGAGAACATTAGCTAAAAAGGAATTAACTACTCCTGAGGCTTCTTCTGAGCTGGAAGAAAGGCTTCAACTCACCCAGTAAAAGTACTGACCCAGACCAGGAGGTCCTGTCTTTTACACTGGCAGCATGTAGATGAAATCAATTTGCCAGTCCTGAGTTGGAGCGAAGCCTTGTGCCAGTATGTAGGAAAAGGAGGAGGTCTAAGGAAACCCTGAGGGTAGATGCATGGCAGCTAGGGTATTGGGTGGTGATAATTAAGTTTTTCTAGGATAAAAAAAAGAGCGAGAGAGGCTTAAGCAATCAAACTAGGGACTGATAGCCTGAGTGGAAATTATCATCAAAGGAGAAAAAGATGGTGCATGCCTGTGGAGCAGGAGGGAAGAATTTTCTTTGATTTAGAAACCATCTACTCTTGGTAGGGAGGGCCTGATACTGTTGCTGTTTGGGAGGGTACAGGTTGGGATAATGTTAGAATAGGTGAAATATTGACCCTCAGCAGTAGAGAGGGGCAGACCAGCTGCCTCTTTAGTCATTTTGTCTGCAAAGGCATTTCTGGCAGCTATGAGGTCACAAGATCTTTGGTGCTCCCTGCAGTAAAATATAACCACTCAGACCAGCAAGAGGGCAGCCTTTATGAGGGCTCTAAAGAGGGGCATTGATTAGAGGACTCTTGGGAATTGAAGAAACCCCTCTCTGCCTAGATAGCAACACAGTTATGTAATATATGGAATGCATATTGGGAACTGGTGTATTTGTTAACTTGTAAGCCCTTAGCCAGCTTGAGCATTGGGTTAGGGCAATCAGCTCAGCCAGTTGATGGTGAACAGGGAAGAGTTACAGTCTCTATGATGGAGTCACATGACATGATCATATAGCCCTCCAGCAGGGGTTATATAAGTGTAGGCTGATGTACACGAGCTCCCATCAAAGAACCAACTGTGATTGGGGGCAGAGGGGAGAGATTGAAACGTGAAGGAAAAGGGATGCTGTCATGTGAATTAAAGGCATACAGTCACACGAATCTGGGATTCGGCAAATGGGTAAAGTGGGCACAAGGTGGAAGATGGAGATGAAGTTGGAGCTAAGGAAAGGATGACTGTGGGGTTTAGGACACAGAGCTGGAGGAGATAGGGAGACGAAAGGAAGTAAAAGAGATGGGACACAAGTATGAGGCCTTGGAGGTTGTGAAAAGAATCACGGGTGAGCAGGGCATGCCTGATGATCTTGAGGTCTTCTATGAGCATCAGGGTCATGGCAGCAGCTGCCTGTAGGCATAATGGCCAACCCAAGACAGTGGGATCAAGCTGCTGGGACGAAAACATGACCAGATGTGAGCTTGGTCCCTAAGCTAGGACTGCAGCCACACGTCCCCTCCGCTCTATTGTGTGAATGAAGGAAGGTTGGGTAGGGTCTAGAAGGACCAGGAAAGGAGCTATCTTTAGAATCTTTTAGGGACTAGAAAGATGAGTAGAGGAAGACTTTGTGATCCATGGGTTCATCTGGGTCTCCCTTGGTGAGTTTGTAAAGGGGTCTGGTACAGAGGGTAAAGCTGGGTATCCAGAAGCAGAAATGTCTCACAACACTGAGAAAGAAGACTTGTCATTTGGTGATAGGGGTCGGGATCTGGGAGACAAATTTGACAAGGTCCAGGGATAGAGCTTGGGCATGTCTGTAGAGAATGATGCCTAGATAGGGGGTGAATGAAGAGGACTTGGGTCTTAGATTGAGATACGTGGTACCCCTTAGATTCCAGATGTTGTAATAATAAGGTGTCTTCATGATACGACTCACAGGAGGGACAGCAGAGGAGGAAGTCATCGATATACTGTAAGAGGTGAGAGGAAGAGGCATGAAAGGAGAGCAAATCATGGTCCGGGGTCTGAGCAGTGGGGACAATCTCTGAAGTCTCGTGGAAGGACAGCCCAGGTCAACTGCTAGGACTGATGGGAGTCAGTCAGGTAAGGAAAGAGGGACTACGAAAAGGGGTGTGAGGGGATGTTGAAAAAGGCATCTTTTAAGTGTAAGACACAGAAATGGGTAGAGGACAAAAGAACAGTAGACAAAAGGGTACAGAGATCAGGCACCACAGGATACATGGGAAGGATGATTTGGTTGATAGTGTGGAGATCTTGCACCAGCCTGTAAGTCCTGTCAGTTTTCTGTTTGGGAAGAATTGGGGTGCTATAAGAGGAACTGATGGGAACAAAAAGACCATGTTGTAGCAGATGGGAAATGATACACTTTAGTTCCTATAAAGCTGGGTCAGGGATGGGATACAGACACTGGCTGGGAGAGGGGTGGTTTAAGTGGGATGCTAAGTGGGTACTGGGCTAGGGCCAGGCACAGGGTAAGAATACCCTGGGATTGAGGTGGGGGGAAACTATGGGAGTGGTAGGAGGGAACAGGGAAGGAAAAGTGAGAACCATTATGAAGGCTGGCTGTATGCCAGGAACAGAGTGGCAGTTTGGTTAGAATGTCTTATCGAAGAAGTAGAATGGTACAAGTGAGAATGACCAGGAAGAAATGAGAGAAAGAGCACAGGGCTAACTGGCATCAGATTAGAGGGGTTTTTAGGGCTCTGGAGACTTTTCCAACAGTAGTTGGGGCTGGAAAGACTGGTCCTGGAAAGAAAGCCAAGGTGGCATGGGTGGCTCCCGTATCAATCAAAAAAGAAGATGGATTTTACAGACTACCATAAGAGTTACCTGAAGCTTGGCATCTGAGATGGACCATGGGTCCTCTGAGGCCTTCAGGCAGCTTTAGTCTTCAGTAGATAAGCCAAGAGGGTCTGGGAAAGAGCCATTCAAGGGGCCCTGGAGTTGTAACCCAGAGGTGGCTGCTTGTGCTGGGCAGTCTGACTTCCAATGGGGACTCCCACAGGAAGGACACGGCCTGGAACGAATCCTGTGCTGCCTGGGGAGAGTGAAGCAGACATGATCTGTCGTCAGGGAGGACTCAGTGTCAGAAGGGGCAGAAGAGGGTCAGATTGGAGGGAAGGGTGAAGGATTTCAGAGGAGTCACAAGAGGAACACAGGGTAGAAAGATTAGATACTCTAGATCATTTCCTCAATTTTTGGAAACAATTTTCTAAGTCTCACAAGATAGAAAGTCAAAGGTGCTATTTTATGGCAATGGAGAGGCATTGGTGAGCTTGTATTTTGGCCCTGCAGTATTCCCCCCCCCAAAAAAAAGGGGGCGGGGAACAAATCAGGTACTCGAGCTTCAGGTTGGGGGAGAGGTGGAGGGGCTTTAGGATTTTTGGAAGACAGGCTGGGGGTGGATGGGAATGGAGGGAGGGAGATTTCTCATGGAGAGCAGAAAGAGAGGTAACGAGGGTGGCATCAAGAGTCCATGGTAGATGTCTTCAGGTGGAACTCAGGGCCATAACCCAAGGTGGGTGGATGACCAAGCCAGATAATCATCATGGTTGGTCTGACACCAAGGGAAGACTCTTCCCAGCGAATATCTGTGATTGGTGTCAGATTTAAGGAACACGGAAAGCAGAATGAGCCTCCCTCTGTCTCAGCTGATGAGCAGATAGAAGAAGAACTTTACCTGATCTGATGCGGCCAGCGGGGACTGCTTGGGGTGTGGTCTGGAGGGCCAATGTCACAGGCATGGTCTCATTAGAAAAGCACTCAGGACAGGGCTTGAAAGCCTCCAGGGAGGGTGCTCTGTCCCAGGTTTTGGCACCAGATGTATCAGGGGCAAAGAGGGAACAAAAAGCTCACTTGGGAAGGCTTTGCATGAGCAGTGAGGCTGTTTAGTTTACTCAGGTGTAAATGAGTGAGTTCAAAAGCGTCAGCACTCCACAAGGGGAGAACAAAGGCTTAAAGGGGGTGGGGAGGAGTGGCTGTCTTGTGGAATTGGGTGGGTGGGGGAATCATACTTCTCCCAATGGGCAGCACAGATGTGAGTGTGGTCATGTTCCTCAGAATGGGCAGTGCAGATGTAATCACTCATCTGGGAACCAGGGAGTTGGGATATGGTGTCTTGTCTTTGTTCTTCGACATTTCCTGTTGTGCTTGATGGGAATGGTCTCAGCTGACACATGTAACAATTCCTGTAGTTACACTCAATAAGCTGATCCCTCCAAGGTCTCATTTTCTACAATCCCACTCTCCAGCAACCCTCATCTTTTCAACTACTCTCCTCAAAGACTACTCCAACATTTTTAAACCCCAGTCCTACCACCCGTTAATCTCACCACCTTTTCATTGTTTCACTCAGCTTAGAGCCCACAATTCACCATTAAAAAGCCTCCTCCTTTGAATATATACCCTCATTATGTTGCCTCCTCCTCTCCTCTCAACACCAGGCAAACCTCAGTCCTAGATGAATCTCTGTCTAATCTGCCCAGGTGACTTTGGCAGGAAAATTAAAAAACAACTATTAACTGTACTGACTGATCTCACCGCACACTTATGACCACTGAATCCAGGTAGGCTCTCAGTGGAAGCCTGCACATACACCAGCTCTCTAGTCTCCTGCTAGATGGGATCTTGTAGCCTGAACATTACCATAGGTATATTCTCAGATGTGTGTCAAGAAATAGGAAATATAGGGCTCAGCACTGTCTGTGCTTTTCCACATACACCAGGCATTGTGGAGTATGTCCTCCGCAGATAAGGGCAGATCTTTTCCCCTGAACCCCGCATAACCCTCTATTCCTCAGGCTTAGTAGATGATCCTGCCTTCTAACTCACTGAGAAGATAAAATCAATCATTTTCTTGCATCTGTGCCAAAGTACTCTTCCCTCTGCTGGTATGGCTGAGGAGCCTGGGCTCCTACTATGATCTATCCTTTCTCCTTTGTACACAGATCCCACTTCCTTTAATCAGTTCTGCCTCATTCCCCCAAATTCTCCCCTTTTGGGCATCATCTATTTCTTCCTCACTACACATAACTCGTATCACATATAATAGCTCCCATTTAAAAAACAAAACAGGGGCTGAGGATTTAGCTCAGCGGCATAAGCACCTGCCTTGCAAGCAGGCAGTCGTGAGTTCGATCCCCGGTACCGATAAAAAAAAAGAAAAATACAAAAAAAAAAAAAGTAAAAAAAATAAAAAACAAAACAAAACTCTAAATCTCAATCCCTTTCTTCTACTGTCAGTTACTTTGGAAAAGTAGTCCTCAAAAGTGATGTTAACTTCTGTCCCTTCCAATTCCTATTTTCCCATACCCTCTACAGGGTAACCCTATCTAGCCTTAGCTTCTCTCTACCAAAACATTTCCTGTGCAAGGTTTTAATGACCTTCATTTCATTAAAATGAAAGGTCAAGTCTCAGTACTCAATCTACTGCAGCTATTCAAACATTAGACATAACCAACTAGTCGTTGTTTCTACACTAGTCTTCCAGACATGATACTCTCATTAGCCTGCTTACTGAGAAATCTTTTTTAGTCTCTGATGTAGGCAGACTTCAACCCCTCAAATGGCCCAATGTTCATCTAGACCCTCTATCTCTACCCTCACTTCTTCATCCAATCTCATGGCTTTAAATCACCCTATATGGTGATGTACATATTTATAATCCCCCATTTATCAATCAATTCATTTAACAAGGAAAGTTTCAGGAAGGGAACTCAGTGGTTAAACACGGAGTGTATACCTACATACATGCATGTGTGTATGGTTCTGACTGCTCCTTGCCACCTTCATTTTCTATAACCTTAGACTAAATTCCCATCATCCTTTTCCTGGTTTATATCCCAGCTTCCTCCATTAGCTCCTTACACTCTGTCAATGAATAACTAGTGGGATCCTTTTAAAGCCTAAATAAGATGTCACACTTCTGCTCAAAACAGTCAAATTTCAGAGGATTGTAATACTTGAGCTGAAAGACAAAATTCTCTACAGTGGCTCACAAGCTCCCTATTAATTACCTCATCTCCTCCCCCTTTCACCCGACTCTGCACTCTAGGTCACACTGGACTCCTGGCAGTTTCTGACATACCGCACATGAGGGTCTTGTCATTTGTTATTCCTGCTGCTTTCAATGTGTTCCCTCCAGTTACCAATGGGGCACTTGCCCTCTTATCTCTCTGTCCACAGCACTTAATGTCATGTAAAATGTAGTACATCTCTCTTTCCTGTTTGTTTTCAGGTCCTTTCACTAGAACATAAACACATGGCACTTTTCTTGTCACTCAGCAGTCCTGATGAATGAATGAATGAATGAATGAATGATACTCTCATTAATAATTTAAAAAATGAGTAACAGTAATATGAATACCCGTCACAGCAGCCCTCCCTTATCTGTTCAGGAACACACTCCAAAATCCATAGTGGGCACGGGGAAGCATAGACCGTGTTACACCCTCTATATCTTGTCTTTCACTACACACATGAGCACACATCTGTGATAAAGTTTAAGCTACACATCAGGCACAATAAGAGGTGAACAAAAACTAAAAAATACAATTACCAGGAAAAAAAAGTTATTTAAAACTTACGAATGATGTATTTCAAGAATTTTCCATTTACTATTTTCATATCACAGGTAAACAATACAAGTAAAACCACACAATATGAGGCCACAAATAAAGGGGACTATAGTGCATACTGACCATGGGCCAACAGTTTAAGTTTGAGCCAAGCATGGTGGCACCTGCTTATACTTCTGTGAGACTGAGACAGGAGGACTGCAAGTTCAAACCCACTCTGTGTGCTTAGAAAGACTCTGTCTCACAATAAAATAAAAAAGGTTGAGGCAGCAAGGGGGTGCATATATAAGTGTGAAGTCCCGGGTTCAATCCCCAGTACAGGAAACAAAACTTCTATAAAACCAACAGTGATTATAATATGCAACAGAGTTCTTTATATACACTGCTGGTAGTGTAAATTGCCACAGTTTACTTACTTACAATACTTAATATAATATGGTCCTAGCTAGTAAAGCTGAAGACACACATACACTTCATCCTAGCAAATGTACTCCTAAATGTACATCCTAGATTCTAGGGTCTATAGCAACCTTCTCATAAGTACAGAAGGAGCCCCTGCAAGAATATTTACTACCATATTGTTCATAAAAGCAAATTGACTGGAAATCTAGGTTTTTGTCATCAGAAAATGTATAAAATGTAATAGGAATATATATGGGAATAATATTTGAAAAGCTAAAATGAATAACTAATTTATAATACAGTTAAATGACCATAATTCAAAACTGTAAGGCTAAGTGTTATGGTTTTGATCTTAAATACCCACTGCAAAGGTTCCTGTGTGAAGGCTCTGTTGGGAGGTGGTGGAAACTCCAAGAGGTAGGAAGAAGTGAGTCATTGGAGGATGCCATTCAGGGTACCCTGGAGTCCTGGCCCTTGCTCTTGCTTCCTGGTCTCCATGAGATGAGGACCCAGCCCCTTGAATTTCCACCATGATGTTCTGTCTCACCATAGGCCTAAAAGCAACCAGTGATCATGCTCTGAAACTTCTAAAACTATGAGCCAAAACAACATTTTCCTCCTTTAAGTTGATTTATCTCAGGTATTTGTCACAGTAATAGCTGATAATGCACTAAACTGATAAAAAGCAAGTTGTTAATACAGGATAATGTTGTACATTATGTATATTATTGAAATATGCAGTGGAAAATACAGTTATCTTGTGTATCACTACACCTAAGTATAATGAGTATGTATCAGGAGAGCAGCTACATCAGAGCAGTTAAGGAGGCAAAAAGAATTAGGATTACAAAGGGCGCTTCCATTGTATCCACTGTGCTTTATATCTTTAGGGAAAAAAAGAGATAGCCTGGAACATAAAGACAAATATCAAGATTCAACAGAAGTAGATGATAGGTACATGGGTGTTTGTTATGCTGTTATCTAAATTCTATACACATAATTTTAATGAAGCATGAAAGCTTGATTATACTACAGAAATTTACCAGATTAAAATTTCCCA